TCTGCCTCCTGAGTTCAAGCAATTCTCCTGCCTCAGCCTCCCAAGTAGCTGGGATTACAGGCGGCGAATTTCTGTATTTTTAGTAGAGATGGGGTTTCACCATGTTGGCCAGGCTGGTCTTGAACTCATGACCTCGTGATCCACTCACAGCCTCCCAAGGTGCTGGGATTACAGGCATGAGCCACTATGCCCGGCCACTGATTGGTATTACAGGTAAGAAAACGTTATCCAGAATGCAATATAGGGAAAAAGACAAAAAAAATATGGATGAGAGGTTAAAAGAAATGGAAGACAAGGTATGAAGCTCTAATAGATGTTTAATCTCAGTTCCAAAAAGAGAGAAAAAATAGAGTAAAAACAATATAAGAGGCTGACTGGTCTGAGTGCAGTGGTGTTTACAACTAATTGATCACAACCAGTTACAGATCTTTTTGTTCCTTCCAGTTCCACTGCTTCACTTGACTAGCCTAAAAACAAACAACATAGGAGAAGATAACGGCTACTGTTAGCTAAAATGTATCCCCCCTAAATTCATATTTTGAAGCCCTGACCCTTAGTATCTCACAATGTAACTGTATTTGGAGATAGGGGGTTTAAATAGGTGATTACGTTAAAATGAGGCCATCAGGATGGGTCCTAATCCAACCTGACTAGTGTCCCTATAAGGGGAGTAAATTTGGACACAGAGAGAGGCCCTGGGGTGTGGACAACAGAGGGACAGCCATGTGCGGAAGGCAGCCATCTCTAAGTGAAGGAGAGAGGCCTCAGAAAGAACAAAACCTGCCAACAGCTTGATCTTGGATTTTTGACCTCCAGCACTATGAGAAAATGAATTTCAGTTAAGTCAGCTAGTCTGTAGTATTTTATTATGGCAGCCCTAGCAAACTAATACAATGTCTGAGAATTTTCCAGAACTAAAGAAAAACAGCAGTATGTGGATTTAAGAAAACCCATACTCAAAAACTTGACACTGATACCATATTTGGAAAAACATGGGTTTTCCCTATGGTATCATGTACTCCTGTTTTGTTTCTAAATGTCAAGCTTGGATGGGTGAGACATCTGATTGGTGGAGGCTAGATCCCATGCCTATTCCCAGCTGCAAGCTGGGAAAGCAAGTGTTCTAGGACAGACTTACTTATAATATGTGAAATAGCCACATGTAAGGAGAATTTTTTAAATATGTTGGAAACACACTAATATAACAAACGCCTACAACAGGGCTATTCAAAGCTTATATTCTAGTCTCGGCTGTTTTCTCTGTATTCTTTTGCTTCAGGAGTGCATAACCCATAGAAATCCTAACTTGATGAGTTATGCAATTTGATCAATGCATCTATCAATTCATGGAACTCTAGACACAAGAGTATTTTGGCTGTCACACAATTCATATCAACCGCTCCATCTTCATCTTACCTAAATCCTAGCATCACCCCTCTGCCTCTCCAGATACCCTGAAGAGGTAGGCTTCTTTTTTCTGCAAGTATTATCTTGCTTCTTCAAGACACCTTTGAGGGTCCCCTGTCTTTCCTTTTGATTGTACTTCATATTTACGTTCAGCAGAATCTCCCTTAGCTGTATCGCTCTCATTCATCCCTTCCTTTCCAGTACCATAACGATTACCCTTTCGCAGCTTTACGTTGGAGCGTCTGCCCCATGCCAATCAATGACTGGTGTTTCTGACTCTGGTTGCTCCTCCCTTCAATTCATTCTGCAAACTCAACAATGTTTGGTTAATTTCTATTTTCTTCTCACCTACTGCCCCAGCCAGTGTTCCCTTGAATGCCTCAGTCTTTCTCTCGGACTTTGCCCGTAATTTTATTCTACCAGGGACCACCCTGCTCCCATTTTTGTCTGTCTTAACCTCCCTTCGTAGTGCAGCTCAGGCCAATGCTCTCTTCAAGACCCCTCCGGATGGCTCACTTTGTAAGTGTGCGGACCTTGGCATGGCCACTGCTCCTTTACACCTGGCACAGCTACTTTACATTGTTTTCCTTCATGAAAACTAAAGTTCTTTTGTTCCAAAAGACTGTGACAGTGACTTCAGGATAAAGAGCATACCTGGATCCCTAGTTCTTAGTGCAGAGCCTAGCACAGAATTGGAATGCAGTATTTGTTGAATGAAGGAACGAATTAAACTGAGAATTAATGAATGCCTGCTCTGGCTCTGAGACTCATTGCTGTGAGAAAGGTCTCTTGCGTCCAAGGAACTTGGAAGAGGCAGGCAGCTGCTGGTACGAAGTCCTGAGTCAAGCAGGAAACAAAATGCGGATGTCAGCAATTACAAGTGAGGCCTGTGGTGGGCTTCTTCCTCTGCTGGTTTTCCGTTCTTAATTTTCAGTCTGAAGTGGGGGAGTGGAGAATCTTTCTGTGTGTTAGACTGTGTCGCGTTGGGCAAACTTCTCCAGTCTTAGAATAGTACTGGTCGCTGTCACTGGCCTTCACTTTGCACCATCCCCAGCAAAAACACTCTGAGTCTGCGAACTGAATTCTAGTGGTTGGGAAATGGATTGAAACATCAAGGTTTTGCTTAGTTTCCACACTCAGATATTAGCAGAGGCCCTGCAAATCTTTTCCTTTTCTATGAATGGAAGAGAAAAAATTTCCGTGAGGCCCTATAGCTCAGGGGTTAGAGCACTGGTCTTGTAAACCAGGGGTCGCGAGTTCAAATCTCGCTGGGGCCTTATAAGTTTACTTTCTTGAATCAGGTTTTTCTTTAAAAAAATTCCCCTGCCGGTCTTTCTGAACTGAGGAAATGTGGCAAATTATAGCTTCTTGCCTCAGGCCAGAGCTTCCAAACACCATTACCTTTAGGTTCCAGTAGTAACGCTGCTCTGTCGCCTGGAACGCAGCGGAATCCATTACACCAGCGGTGGGAACCGCCGTCAGCTTCTGCGACGCCCTGGCTTGCGGACTGGTGGCGAGAGCCTGGCTGGCTGCCGGAACCAGTGCCCTGAGCGGGAAATGGGGGCGGCCAGGCGACAGAATAGCCCCTTAAACTATTCTTAAGCCCCGGGTCTGGGGATATTTGGAGTGGAGATCAACGTTCCCCTTCTGAAACGGGAAAAGCCAGCGGTGGCTGCTCGGATTAGGCGTCCAAAAGACAGATGCCCGCTGCGCGGCAAGGTTTCATGTGCCAGTGGGGTTTTGGGAAATTAAGGGTCCGACTTTAGGGGCGAGACTTGGGTCACTAAATTTGATTCTGACGCAGAGAAATGTGGCCATCCTTTTGAATGAGCTAAAATTTTCTCCAAAAGCGAATTCTCACAGAAACATTGGGTTTGCCCACACGTCCTCTATTTCAGGGGTTCCAGACCCTCTGGCCGCGGACCGGTACCGGTCCACGGCCAGTTAGGCACTGGGCAGAACAGCAGGAGGCGAGCTGGGGCGCGACCAGTACCCCTAGCCTGAGCTCCGCCTCCTGCCAGATCAGCCGTGACCTTAGCATCTCACAGGAGCGAACTCTATTGTGAACTGCGCATGCCAGGGATCGAAACTGCACGCTTAAGAGAATCTAAGTGATGCCTGACGATCTGAGGTGGAATAGTTCAACCCAAGACCATCCCCCAACTCCCCTCCCGCCCCAACTACTGTGGGTGGAAAACTGGTTTCCACGAAACCGGTTCCTGGCGCCAAAAGAGTCGGGGGGGACCACTGCTCCATTCCACACCCTCTCCCTCCCGGGTCTGTGGACTTGTAAGCGGAAGAGCCGAGATTCGGAGGGGAGCGCAGGAAGTGACGACACCAGGGAGCCCAGGCCTGAGCCTGGAGGCCCGCCCTCTCCGGCACTCACAGCTGCGCAGTCAGAATTGTGTGCGTCCCACTGCCGCAGCCCCCAGTTCTCCGAAGTCCAGGTGCTGGTCCCCACCTTACACACAAACACACATACCCATGCTCGCGAGGCCCCTGGGTCCCCGCCCAGCGAGGCCAGCAACCCTTGGGCGTCCAGAGGATGTGCAGCCTCGGGATACCCAGGTTCCGGGGACGACTGCTCTGCTTGGGAGCCCCTCAGTGGAGCAGGGGAATCCAGAAAGGTTGTCCTCAGAACCTCGGACTCAGGACGTTCTTACAAGCTGGCTTTGCGACGCTGCAGTAATCACTTTCCAGATGTTAAGAGATTTCTTTCTTTCCCGTCTCTGGTTAAGGATGTCTTGAATAGGGATTTTTAGAAACCGTTTCGCGGTGTTCCCTTCGATAGCTCAGCTGGTAGAGCGGAGGACTGTAGTACTTACTGTGATGTTATCCTTAGGTCGCTGGTTCGATTCCGGCTCGAAGGAGAAGCTGCTGTTTTGGGGTTTACAGTTGCTCTCCGTTTGCTCAATAAATCTCTGTATGTTGACATGATGAAATGTCTTTCTATCCCTTACCCTTGTCCCAAGGAAATAGCCATGAGTTGAGCTGCGTTAGTCATGCCTTGAAAAGTCGGATACCTTTCTGTGAGATAGTAGACCCGAATGGTCCAACCGTTGCGGGGGAGGCACTATTAACTTACTGAAGTGTGTTATGTTTTGGCTTCTGGATTATACACAGCGCGCGCCTGTCCTCAGGCTCAGAACCCTACTGAGAGCTCCGCTCTGGCCCTCGATCTCCATCTCAGTCCCCTCCAGGTTCCCTCCAGGCTCTAGCGGGGCTTAAGTCTCTACCCCGGGCTCGGTGAGACTCAAACATGTGACCTAAAGTCTAAAAAGCTGCCTCTACTCACCCCATTCTGCATCTGTATCAAGGAGCATAAGCGAGGGTAAAGCCAGAGCCACACGTGAAACTTGGTAAAGGTGGAAGGAATAACTAAATAAGGCCAAAGGAAAATGTCACAACAGAGGAAGAAAAAAAAAAAACTTCGTAACAGGAGGCGGCCAGTTGCTGGCGGAAAAGAGAAATTCAGCACGGTAAGAAGTGACGATAAATCACAATGGCTCGTTGGTCTAGGGGTATGATTCTCGCTTTGGGTGCGAGAGGTCCCGGGTTCAAATCCCGGACGAGCCCGAAGTGGTGCCATTTTTCCACACCATTTTGGCAAGTACAGAAAAAAGTTTCAGTTAGAGTTGAAACACAAACTGTCTCGCGTTGGGCTGTCCTGCCAAAGAAAGCAGCACTAAATACGTGGCAGATGGGCTGCCAACCAGTGTCATGACCAAGTTTCATGGGTTCCTGGACGCTCAGCCAGTGGTCGTCTCCGAAGGGCCGCCTGGCTCTTGGAAACAGAAGCCAGTTTCCCGCCATCTGCTGTCCGTGGAGGCTGTGCCCTCGCAGCTGCTGCCCTCTGGGTTCCAGCTGAGGAAGGGGCAAGTGAGTCTCAGGTTCGTTTTTTGCTCGGGCTGCCGCTCTGCGGCCTTGGGGCGGGGGCTTCTGCGGCGCCAGCTCCAAAGGCGGATCCAGGAGGGAGGGACCTCCTCGGAGAAGCGGGGCGCGGTCCCAACTACGCAGAGGCTCACAGGCCGACCCTCCTCTCCTCACGCCACACCCATCTGCGTCCGGGTCCACACATTCACCCTACAGACGCACGCCAACCCCACCCAGATGCAAAGCAGGTTTTCCAAAGAACATCTTTGCGTTTTCTTACCAGCTTCCCAGAATCGAACTACGGAGGAAGAAGCAGTTGAGAAACACAACTTCTTTCCATTGTGCTGCCCGTTTCTGCCGACTTGTTCTGAGGCCGAGGTGGGTTCACCCTCCTGCTCTTCCTCCTCTTTGATAGCTTCATCAGGGGCGTTTGGCCGGGGAGTCCCTTCCTGGTAGAGGGAGGAATGGGGAGGGAGGCGAAAGTCCGTTATTTGTATGAGTTAACGACTTTACATTCCCACTCCGATTTTTACTTTGCGCAGCTGGGCAGAGATACCGCTTCTGTTGGTTAGTAGGCTGGGAGGGGGACCTAAGGGAGGCGCTGGGAGGCCTGCACTTGCCATAACTAAGGAAGCTTTGCTTCTTATTCAGGTTAATCACCCGATTTTTGAAGCAGGCTTTAGTTTTTGCAAGCGTAACTAACATTTGGGAATTATTGTTTTCTGTTTACTCTCCTCTGCCTCCCCACCCTTAACCCACCCTCAGCCAGTGGTGTGCAATTCTTAGAGACACTTGCCAACAGCCTCTTCTCCAAGCCTTCCTACTGGAAGATTGGGATCCTCCTTTTTCTCGTTCTGAGACAGCACATCAAGTGCTAACGGCAGCACATGGGTAAAGCGCAATATCTTTATTAAGGAAGGACAGTAAAAACAATTTCATCACCACTCAGGGGGCTAGGGAAATCTCAAATGAGCCAAGACCCTCCCTCGTGACAGTAAGACTCTTAGAATCAAGTCATAATGTAATCACTAGAAACCCAAGTGACATAATTATCTGCAGCACAGGACCACCTTCCAAGAAGCAGCCTCAGGTCTTCATTGAGTTATTAACCACAGAGCCATTAACTAGTTTTGCAAGAGGATAAGTTTATTACATACACTTCAATTCAAGCAATTCTTTTACTGATGACAAGTAGAGTAAAATATGTTTTGAATTTATGATAATAGTCAATGTAGGTTTCCTTTAAACAGCAACTTTTAGTGGCACCTTGAAAGTTAGCTTTGATTTTCTAGAAAGTACTAGTATGGAATATAAAAGTTGTGTGGGCCTGGCGCGGTGGCTCATGCCTGTAATCCTAGCACTTTGGGAGGCCAAGGCGGGTGGATCAGGAGGTCAGGAGTTTGAGACCAGCCTGGCCAAGATGGTGAAACCCTGTCTTTACTGAAAATACAAAATTTAGATGGGCACTCTAGCCTGGGTGACAGAGCAAGACTCCTAAAAAAACAAAAGTTGTGTGGCGCATGTAAAGGTTCTAGTCCCACAAATGCTATGAGTCCCTCAAATGCTTGAGCAATACATGTCTCTTTCTCTGTTCCTCAGTTGCCTCTTCTTTAATATGAGGGTTGGATGGACAGCCTCAGAGGCCCCTCCCACTCTTGTTCTATGACTGCATGGAGTGGTGCAATGTTAGTAACAGGACACAAGGCACTCCAGTAATGTGGAGATGAACTATAGTTTGGCAGACAGGATGGGAAAAAACCATTCCAGGAAAAGAGGAATGGCTTTAGCTATTGTTCAAAGCAGATAATCAGGTTATAAGCAGGCAAGAGTAAGAGGTGTGTCAAGTTGTTGTTAGAAGCATTTGCCACTGTGACTCAAATTAAGTAGATAGATGAAAAAATGGACCAATGCAGGCCAATGAAACCCTTCTTTAGAAGTTTTTATTTAATCTGTATTTAAGCAGATTCTCTGTAATTCTCCATAAACAGTTATTCTCAGAAGAATGGCCTGAAATACTTGGGAAAGAAGGAATGGGGACAAAGAGGGAATGGGCACAAAGCCTGGAGTTGGCTAAAAAGTAAATGTTTAATTTTTGCCTTTGATGGAAATACAGGCATGTCAGCAGGACTTTGTCCCCACTCTCTTTCAATCAGTAGTGTTGTCACTTCCTGGAGCCATGATTCTGCTTTTCACCTGGGCTTTTCCTTCTTTACCTGTGACTTCTGTTATTGAATAAGTTTCATGCTTATAGACGTAAAATGTTAGAGTAATGAAGAAATTTAGAAATTATTTAGTCCATTCCTCCAATCATCTAATTTTGTAATTAATCCTAAGACAGAATGAAACGTATATACTCTGTATGAAGAAGGAAAGTGCTTCAACACTAGAGTCCTTGGGAAGAGTACCCATGCATCCCATGTCTGTGTGTAGGGACATTATTGGCTTGAGGGAGAGAGAGAAAAAAATCTCCAGAAAAGGGAATGACTTTCAAATTAAAGTGGTCTCAATTTTTTTTTTTTTTTTTTTTTAGATGGAGTCTCACTCTGTCACACAGGTTGGAGCACAGTGATGTGATCTTGGCTCACTGCAACCTCCACCTCCTGGGTTCAAGCTATTCTCCTGCCTCAGCCTCCCGAGTAGCTGGGACTACAGGTGCCTGCCACCACGCCCAGCTAATTTTTGTATTTTTAGTGCAGATGGGGTTTCACCATTTTGGCCAGGCTGGTCTCGAACTCTCAACTTTGTGTTCTGCCCTCTTTTGCCTCCCAAAGTGCTGGGATTACAGGTATGAGCCACCATGCCTGGCCTGAACATTTTTAAAATAGATTTTTTTTTTTTTTTTTTGGCAATTGTCAATTCCTTCATATGGATTAAAATTATTGACAAAGATGCAATATTCCTTAATCATAGAATATAATTCCTTGTTGTATTTTAAAACACAAATGACTGTGTGCATAGATGCATTCTAATGAAATGGTAATTTTTCCCCCAAACCCTACTTTTTGTTTTAATAAAACTTCCTTGTGCCAAGTTTAAAAGAAAAACAAAAATCTGTCTTTGCATTGTGGGCAGATTGTGAATCCTCCAAAAGTTGTCCGATGAAGGCCCAGAGGCACAGAATAGAGCTAACTATATTCAGAGGCTGCTGGTTGCCCCACCCCAGCACTACTGCAGAACTCTAAAATCAGAGGATACTCTGTTTATGTGAGTTGGTGCTTGAATTGGTGCTTCAAGCCATGGGTGCATTGGATTGCATATTGCAGGCGCATTGGATTGTATATGGCAGCAGTCCTTTTCTGGTAAATCACTTGAAAGCAGGTGTTTTTGTTGACCAAGTTGTCTTAGGCTGTAGGAGTTGGCTGCTGCATGCATCCAGGACTGCTGAGGCAGTTGGGTGTTGCAATGAGCCTGTCAGCTCTCCTCCCTAACAAATGAGTGGTTGGTAACTTTTCAGAGCTCAGCTCTTCAAAGTCTGTTTAAAAAGTGATGTGTAATTAATTTAAAATAGTTACCACTCAGAGATGCTACGTTTGCTCACAGAAGGAAACTGAGCATTTGAGTACTCTGTCAGATGCCAGGAGGAGACCCACTCTGGGCCCCACTTCCCATTGCTTTTCTTTGTTCCGGAAACACTTTGGACTTTGGCATTTGGCAAAACAACCTCTAGTGTTTACAGTACTGGTCAGAGACATGCTTATTCCTTCCCAGAAGACTCCAGTACCCCTGAGGCACTGGGGACTGAGGGAAAGCAGTTTAAGGCCATTCGCTTAGTCCTCTTCTCACTGCTAACCTTTTTCTTTTTAGCTCAACATTTGCTTGGGGCTGCAGAGAGAAAGAAAGAGGACAAGGGAAAAAGTGAAGCTCAGGCAGGATGGTGCCCCAACAAAGCTGAAAAACAAGTGAAGTTCATCCCTCCCTAGTTTCCCCATGCTGCCCACTTTTCTTTCTCCTCAAATCCTCAGTGCCTTTCAGTTACCAAAACCTGTTCTTAAGGATGAGCTCTAAAGCACATGCCTAAAGATGTGTAAATTACAGACAGCTGCTGAAAGAGTTTACCCTCCTAAGGATTTTTGCATTGGAGTGAGGACCAATATCTCAAGAATGAAGGCATATCAGTTGGATTCCATAAAAGTAGCACTTTGCTGGGAACCTGGGAAGCTCTCTGCTCTGCCTGGGAATCATGATGGCCTTATTTTGTAACTACTACCAAACCCAATTATGTCTGTAAGCCTTTAGGAGGAGCCAGGAGACTTTGCATGGGCGAGGTTTCCAAAGTGCGATCAGATGGTGCATCCTAGAAACAAGGGATCACAAAAACAGTTTGAGTGTGGGGTGTGGTGATGTGTGCTTGTAATCTCAGCTACTCAGGAGGCTGAGGCAAGAGGATCGCTTGAGCCCAGGAGTTCCGGATGAGCCCTGGCAACATATTGAAACCTCAAAAAACAAGTTCGGGATGAAGTGTTAGTCACTGTTTTAAATTCTGAGAATAGAGTCAGTGAGATCAATTAACAAAGGAGTGTTGGTTAATGGCTAGTTTCTCTGGTTACAGCAAGGTGAAGTAAAAAGTAGATCCATCCCAGCCATGCTATGAGAACTCCAGATCAGCTCACACTCTTCTCTGAACACTCTTGAAGTTCCCACAGGATGTAGAAGTACCTGCAAATTAGCCCGTTTAGCCTACACAGTGAAACTGCCTTTTTACTGCTTTCCTGCTCCAGCTCCCTGTGGGAGATCTGTCCCTGCCATACAGAAGGACCAGTGCTGCTGAGAACGTCTGAAGATGCCCATGTCCTCTTTCTTTCTGGGAGAGCAGATGGTCTGGCCTCATGCTGTAGCTCTTGTGTCCAGACTTGCCGCATCCCAAGAGGACCCTCATGTGGGGGAAAGTACTTTACTCTGCCCTGCCCCTACATCCTCCCCTGTCAACCTTGTGGTCTGTTTCTTTACACTGACTTCCTATGTGTTTTCTGAATCTTACAGAGATTTCAGGAAACAACCTTTTTATTTATTCCAGTTTTTATTGGAATAAAATAAAAACTCTTAGGACCCAGGAAGCTGCATAAGAAGGGGATGTGAATGGCACACACTGAACCCCTTTCCCAACGCTGCTCTCTGGCCTTCGTATCTTTCTCCTGCCCTTCATTGTGTTTTTCCATTAGGACGAATCCTTTCCCAGGGGCATCACAGACTCTTATGCAAATAGGCTTCCCTCAGGTGGACTCACCAGCTTTTCAAACACACACTTTGACACACCTGAAACCAAGTCAATACAGTCACCTTGGGACCCATGCTCCGTGCTTGTCTCATTGGGGATATGTACTGGGTACAGTGAATCTGCAAGAAAGAAGTGAGCAACCCCTCTGAGAATTGGATGGGAT